GTATCTTATTCAAATTAATAGCCACAGTGAAGTTTGTTTTAGAAAATAATGTTATTTCACTCGGATAAAGTATCATGAAATATAGCAAGTTTCTATTGAAATGTTAATTTAATATAAAAATGTTAATTTAATTGATTAGATAAAGGATTTTCAAATGGGATTTAACATTTGAAATGATTGGAAATTAATTTCAGCATTCGAATGTTCTACTAGTCTTAGGAGCCAATCCCACGAAGAATCATAGGTGTTAATGATACAAGGTGAGAATACTCTTGGGAATTGAATACTAGTCAATTAATTTTCACCGTCAACTTGACGCCAAGTATTTCCAGGACACGCGCGTTCGATATGGCAATTAACAACGAGAACGTGAGGGCGTGCCCTCAAAACGACGAAGAAGACTTCTAGCAAACTCTGATTTCTAATTTTCTTCGAATTTATTTTACCTCGCTAAATCATTTATTGCTTCGGACATGTAGACTCTGGTATTATAGTTTCTCATATGTATTTTATTCGACACTTTATAAAAGTTGAAAATTTAATTTTGGCCTGTCTCACACGGCATATTCTTACACTCGATCAATCCTCGTTGAGTATGTAAAATGCTGAGAGGATGCTCGCCCTCTTAGCCTTGCTTGGAAAACCAATAATTAATTTATAATCAGGTGAGATATTCTCCACCTTTTTGCTCTTCTCAATAACAATATTCTCACGTCAAGAGTATCGGAAAAATTGACGTATCATTTTTATCAAAGACTCTTGAAAATGCAACGAATGATGATAGGTAATTAAGCAGACTGAAAAGAAAAGAGCTATTGAGAATTAGGCAGTTTTCACTTATGACGATGTCCTGAATACCTCAGGTCATGAGAATATTGTGTCTCAATGTCGCCTGAAAGTGATGATGATTTAGTAATATATACTTTGTTACTTCAGAGGTGGTCATCGAGATTCAAAAGTTGATTACTCCCTCGTATATAAACCTTTCTCTTATTTTTTTTTTTTTCGGTAATGATGTTTATCAGGATACTTGATAAAATACTTTCAAAGTATAAAGCCACAGTCATCAAAAGTGTGGAGTCATCTGATCATACAAATATTAATTTTTTACACAGTACTTTCAGAGTTGAAAGTTAGTTTTAATAATTCTTTGATGATTGTAATTAAGACAAATGGTAACATAAGTCTTTTATAACAGATGAAAGTTATTGCTGGCAACAATGTTGGAATAATTTAATTTACTTAGAGTATGACTACATTAACAGAAATTCATGAATTAAAAGATTGTAAAGACTTCCAAAGAAATTTCCCTATTTCTACCGAAAGCCACTTTGTGCGGTCTCTGCAACAAACCGCAGACTTTTCTGATCTCCTTCTCTTTGTATCCAGGCGGCTGCTCAAAAAAGATCACGTAGCCTTTCAAAGTTACGACGTTCTACCACGCCCTTCTGTCTTTCGTACAGTGCAATTTGTAACTTTTTTACGTAAGCGTCATCATCAAACTTGGATTCACTTCGATTGCAACCCTGGACGAAAGTGGTATTTCATGAAATCGAGTTTTAAATTCCGCTGTTTTGAGCAATTTTAAGCAATGCTATGTCGAGCATCCAGGAAGAAAAAATAACTCCGTTGTTGAAATAAATTGATCGAAAGAAATAATGGATTTGTGCAATGCTTCCGATAAATACTTCAGTACTTACTCCCTAAAAGAGCTCATCCTTTCATTTTTTATGTTGCAATTCAATCAATTGAGTTCAATATTAATATTATATAATAATTCATTTTATAACAATTTTTGCTTCTGATTGTTTTTCACTCTACTGTTAAGCCACTTGTTATCAGAAATAAATAAAAAATTAATTAGAAAAATAAATGTGATGACTATTTTTAATGAATATATTAAAATCATTATTTTAATTTATGAATAAAAATTGTTTTAGATGTAGAATATTTATTGGAGTTAAATGGTTGAACTTCAAAGGATACTTCTAAAGGTTGGTAATAATTTATTAGATAATTGAATTAATTTTATTTATATTGACAATTATAAAGATATCGAATGAATATAGTAGATATATCTTCTAATATGACTAAAATTATTTATCATATTATTTATTCAGACATTAAGTGATGATTATATTATTGTATAAATCAATCCGATGCTGATATTTATATTGAAAGATATTTATTTTGAAGGGAATTTTCTCTTTCCATTAACATCTTCATCTTAAACATATTGGTACGTTTCGCATCAACAAATGCATGCTTAGTAATCTATAACCTAAGGCTTTTAATCCACCCGCGTAAATTCATTTAAGAAAACGAGGAACGTGAGAAACAGATTAAACATACATACTACACCTATCGTATAAAGTGTTTTCTTTACGTCTACTTTTTTACGTATGAACTTTTTCAGTTGGCAAACTCGCGTGGAGAACATGATAGCTGTTTGCCATTTATTCAGAAGAACTGTGCTACTTTAGAATTGCTCACACAACTAACTTTCCGTTCTCATCGTTAGATATAAAAATACAAAACTCGATTACATCGAATAAACAATTCTAGTAATATTTATAAAGCAACTCATTCGAGCTTTAGGATTGGCAAAAAAATTTTTTTTCAATCCGGGGAAAATTATAAAATAGAAAATATGCTGAATCAGCTCAATAATAATTGAATCGCTCGTTAAATAGAGATTAATATTTTCTAGAAATAATGTTAATGGTAGACAGCCTTCGATAAAATGTCTATCATGATGGACAGAGGTTGTTGAGGGGTTAATCAAAAAATTTTTAAATTGATGTTAATATCAAGTCATAAAAATTATGGCAGTTTTCTACATGAAATTGTTTTTCTTTGTCAGTTAAACAATAAATTTCAATTAACAATTAATTATTATTTTATCTCTATACAACATTCTAGATGATTATTTGATGGAAAATAATTTTTAATTGGAAACACAAATAATTTTTACTTAAAAAAAATTTTTACAAGTTAAAACAATTATAATCAAGAACTTATTCCTTAATTCAGGCAAATGATTTGTGAGTGCGGTTTATTTTTGAAAATGAAAAATTCATAAATAATTTTTGATAAGACACTTAATTCTTTATGCAACATAAATGTGAATTTAGTTGGTACAATAAATCATCAGATTAACATCATTATTACATTATGCAGTAAAGATTCGTATGAAATTTTTTCATGCATTCCTCATGCTTTAAAGAAATATTCATGTTTATTTATATTTTTTCATCGTAATTTTATGCTCTCTCGCATGTTATTTACGATTAAAGTAATATAAGAGGGAGGAAAAAAATTACAGACACCTTTACGTAAAGGACAAGCGTGTCGAACGACTTTCCCGCCCACGATATTCCGGGTATGTATATATCCTTTCGTCGCATAATTCCTGGCGATAGAAACAGGTGAATATATGATTGTACAAATGGTTCTTTTCACATTGCTCGAGGCGAATGTATGTTTAAAACAACATTCTCATAAATATGAAAGTATAATCTAGTGTTGAAAGATAGTGAAATGATATTGCAAAAAAATCAATTAAGAAACATTTGAGTAAGGATAATTATTTCGGTGCGATGGAAATAATACAAGTGTGTTCAGACGGTTTAAATGTTCAACAAGACACGAGTTATTTGACAGGAGTAACCGTGTGAGTTTGCCGTAAGCCTCTCCGTTATCGACAGTTAATTAGCGTAGCATCCATTTCTCAGTTATTAAACATTAATTGGCCTACCCCTCTGTATCTTCCGTGTCCTCATTTTGATGGCCTACTCACTCGTGTTCATCCCGCTCACAAATGCAGCCCGTGTGAGACTTATTTGCTGATCAGTACGGTCTAATGACTATACAACTCTGTAGCAAAAGGTCGGGGGGAAAAGCGATCACGCCAGGAGATTCGAAAAGCTGCAGCTGTTTTCAAACAAGCAAACTCGACCGCTGCAGGATTAATTATTAGATCAGATAATCTTCAGATTAACTGTATATCTATGTTTATGCCATATGCAAAGCATACGACTTCAGTAATTAGCCGAGAATTAGTAATGCGTCTTGATTTCTCGATGCTTGTCTTCTAGTCCTTCTTGAAATACATTAACGCTGTATTTTTTCTTTTTAATTCGCCAAGCTATGCTTATTAACCTGCTCACCTTTTCTAAGTAATAGAATTGTATTTACTTTTGTAATTATTATAAATGATTGGCTGTTGATGCTTGAACTATACGACAGGAAAAATTATACACATTAATGAAGTTTAAGGATAGCTATCAAATGAGCATTTTCTTTGGAGTAAACCTTTTTGTTGGGCATCATTCTGTTTTCAAATAATACTGCTTAATTTCAGCTAAGTAAATAATTTTTTCACATGACTTAATAGTAGATATTTTGATTTGATAATTGATTGTTTGATTTTCTATTTACCTGAGCTAACAGGAAGTCATTTACTGTGATTAAAAATTTGTATTAGCCTTTATTTTTATTTTAATCAATTAAATGTACCAATGAGGAATTAAATAGTTAAGTCGATTTTGGAGAAAGTCATTAAACTCTCCACTTTATTTTTAAAACACTCTACAAATATTTTAATATATTTAATATAATATAATAAATATTTATATATTTAATATAAATTTACTCCAGCTGTCAAAGAAATGTATTGATAAGTATATCGATTATTGTAAATAAATGTATTTGTAAGTGGTTTTCTATTACATTCGAGTCGATTTATCTGTTTGATAATCCTCTAATTACTCAAATTGTTGAACAACTGAATAAATAAATTATGACACGCTTGACGCACAACACATTTCCGATCTATTATCAAAATTTTTAAACAGTTTCACAATGTCTGTGAAGCGATAATAATGTTAGTCCAAAACTAGGTAAATACTGATGATTATTAAAAATAATGACATGCATGGTAGGGATAATTCCATATTTATTGCTGCTTCTTTTCCATTTTTAATTCATTAGAACTTCCATGATCAGAAGCACTGATCATCGAAGAATAAATTTTTCAAATATAACTCATGTTTTAATTAATTCTATTTCAATATGATCAAAGTTTTTATCACTTTAGTTCTTTGTTCTTGTCTGAAGGAAAAACTCTGGCCGTAAGTAATGCATAAATAATATTATTTATTTGTTAGCTATATTGGTAAAGTTAATATTTGATATTTCAACATTTATTCTCATGGTTATTTTCCAATTAGCACAACGAATAATGCATCTGTTGATAGTATTTCTACATCAAGAATACCTTGCAGTCATGATTCTAAACCAGTAACATCTCCCATTGACAATACTACAACATCTCAACAAGCTGACAACATTACATTAACATCATTACTATTTGATGAAATTCCGTCCACAACATCATTGCCTGTAAGGAATATTACATCAACGGTATCATTTCCTGTTGTCAATATTACTTCAACACCAACAGCATCTATTTATAATATAACACGATTAAGCCCGGAAGTCGTTGATCATACTCCTTTTACAACAACAGAACTTGCTAATGATATTCCTACAGAAACAGAGTTGGGTTATAATGTTACTTCTATAACACCATCATTAATTGAGACTGTTACATCGAAAACAACAGAATTTATTAATGATACTTCTCTAACAATAACAGAGCTTTCTAATCATATTACCTCATCAGCGACCGAGTTTTTTAATAATATTACTTCCTCAACATCACCATCAGTTGGAAATACTTCATCAATATCAACAAAATTTCTTTTAAAAACAACCGAAATTGTTGATGATATTTATTCAGGATTAAAGCTTGCTTTAAATACTTCTAAAATATTATCATCAGTTGAAAATATTATATTGTCAATAGATAGACTTGATGTCAATAACAGTTCATCAACAACAGAGCTGGTTAATGATACTACATTAACCACAACAATCTTGCTTGTTAATAATATTCCTGTAACTACATCATCACCTCTCGATTTTTCATCATCAACAGAAGAATTTATTAATAATGTGACATTACCTAGAGGAGAAACTTTCAATACTTCTACATTAATGATGGAATCTGTTTATAATATAAAATCAACAACTGAATCAGTTAATAATATTACATCAATTACCTCATCGCTACCGAGTTTTACATCATCAACAGAAGAAATAATTGATAGTACTACATTAAGTACAGTGAAAAATTTTGATAACATTCAACCAACAGAATCAACGGTTGTTGATGATTCTGTAATATCATCATTACTGCCTATTGATAAGATTATATCATCAAAATTATCCCATGAACATTCCAACTTGTTTGCAACATTATCATCTATTTCCAATACTCCATTAACATCACCACCATCACCAAAAAATACGATGAAAGAGCTCAAAGTCTATTGGAACGTACCAACGTTTGTTTGCCATAGACATGGTATAAAATTTGAAGATATTTCACAATTTGGTATTATTCAGAATGTTAATGATTCTTGGCGAGGACTTGATGTGGCTATACTTTATGATCCAGGACTATTTCCAGCATTAATAAAATTATCTAATGGTAAATAAAAATGAAACATTTTCTCTAATTTTTGAATTAGTTAGTTTACATTAAACCCTTTCATTATTTTCAGGTTCGACAATAATTCGAAACGGTGGAGTGCCTCAAAAAGGAAATCTTCAGGAACATTTGAAAGCATTTAAAAAAGAGATAGATTTACAAATAGATCAGAATTTCTCTGGAGTTGGAATTATTGACTTTGAACATTGGCGACCAATCTTTCGTCTGAATTGGGCATCTTTAGATCCATATCGAAAATACTCTTATGAAATAGAAACAGAAGAACATCCAGAATTGACTCCAGAAGAAATAAAAAAATTAGCTGCAGAGAATTTTGAGAAACATGCTCGGGCTTTCATGGAAGAGACTATTAAAATGGCCAAAGCTCTTCGTCCAAAAGCTTCTTGGACTTACTATGGATTCCCTTGGTGTAACAATTTAACTCGTAAATACAAGGGTACTCAATGTCATCCAATGCTACTTGAAAATAATGACGAGTAAGAAATGTCCGATGAATTTATTTTTCTGATAGAGAACTTTCTGTTTTAAATAATATTTTTTACAGCATTCAATGGCTTTGGGACCAAGAACATGTTTTGGCACCTTCTATTTATATACCCATAAATTTAAATAGAGAACAAAGGATAGGATTGATCAATGGACGATTGACTGAAGCTCACAGGATAGCAAGAAAAACAAATTCTCAACCAAAAATCCTTCCTTATTTTTGGTTTAAATATCGTGATCGGCATGATGTGTTCTTAAGCAAAGTAAAACCTTCTTAAATAATATCAAACAATTTTAATTATTTTCTAACATATAATATACAATAATTTATTGTAGGATGATTTAGTACGAGCGTTCAAAGCAATGCTAGCCCAAAATATTGATGGTTTCATTCTTTGGGGTAGTTCAAATGATCTCAACACCAAAACAAAGTGTCAACAGGTCCATGATTACATCAATCGAGTCCTAGGTCCACTGGTGAAGGATATAATCATTCAAAAACATGTTTCAGGCAATGACGTATTTAAAAAATGATTCTATTTATCTCTAGTCACTAAAGATAACAAATGTTGATAATTATTATCCTGCATAGGTATTTTTATAATTGATTTAATAAACGATTTTTATTTTAATTAAAGCTTTCCGTTATCAAATTTATTATTAACAATTCACTTGACTATTGATGCAGAAAAATTTTTACAATAAATAACAATTTATGCATTGTAAGGTATATAAAACCCTGTTGATAATGCGGTTCAAATCAATTCATCCGTAAATAATAACACTAGATCCTACATATGCCAAAACATAGATTGTACTGTTCCCCTTATAGATGTTCGTTGTATGGATTCTATTGATACCTATGGAGCAAGATCAGAACTCTGTATCTAGCTTGCCAATAAATTTAGACAGAATCCAAGCGGAATAAATTTATGGGAGAATTAATTTTGGAAAATCCATTCAAATTCACAAAGCCGTTAAAATTCAATAGCTGCATCTACTGAAGTAAATTAATGAAGAAGACTATTAATTACTGCATAACATGTCATATTTTTATGTAGCTTGTTGGATAAACATGACCAAAGTGTTGGTAATTAATGTGTAGATGTTAATGTCAGAAGAGGTTGCTGTCATCTTGAACGCAATGTTAATGGATGAACACTGAAAGCAAACAAAACCTTTTCTTCCGGTTCCAGTGAATCGTGACTGAGCGTGGAAAGTCGAATGTATGCATGCTTTCGGACCACAAGAAATAGTTGCTCGTGACATGGGTATTTCATTCCGGAAGCCGACAGCGTGGAGGATTACAACATACGAGATTAATTGCGAGCATTAGTGGGATTTATCGGGGTTGCATCGCGAGCTATTCAAAGGGCTTTCGATATTCTGATCAGCTCGTTAGTCAAAATGTTACTACTGGTTGATTTTATTGCTATCAAAATAAAGTGAAGCATCTTGTTACAAGAGAAAACGTGAACGCTAATAGAAAATGAACGGTTAATCGGGCATTCATTACTTGGTGAGGTGAGAAACTGTTACACTGATATATGGAATACTTCAATCATCATCATCTGTTCTTTACATGAATATTCCTAACTAGGCTTTATTAATCATCTCCGTTTTTATTTACTAACCCATTTATTTTCTTCAGTATTTAACAAATATTTTGAATTGAAATTTATGCGTCCAATTAATTATCATATTTTTAAAACATTTTTCTTATTATATAAAAAAAAATAATTTTTATTTGTGCAAATTCAATGTCAATTATTTATAATCTTTTCTAAAAATTAAAATACATATTACATAAAAGCTGAATATTGAAGAGAAAATTATTAATATTCATTGACAATCATTTTTATCAATATTTATTGCAAATAACAACTTAAAAATTTAATTTGTTTATATTTATGGCTTCAACCATAAATGACAACAATATTTCAATTCATTGAAAGTTCTCCATTAAAATTGTTTTCCATTAACCTGTTTTTATTGCTCAAAAAAAAGATATAGTTTATAAATTTTCAGCATTTCTATGAGCAAAAGAAAGTACTAATATTAGAAGCTTTGGAAGACGACTAACTGTTCAAAGTCTTTGTTACTGATGATTGAAAAAGAAAAAGATAAATAGAAAGTACACAATACTTTCTTCTTTTGGTTAAACAATTTTTTCTAAATGACATGAACCAAAGTAATAAATAAAATAAATCGTATATTATAATTTATACAACCATTTCTACTAAGTTTTAAATGAAATAAAAATTTGATCTTGATGGTAACAGGACTGACAATGACGTTGCAACTCTTTGAGCACGTCGTAAAGAATGCTCGTAAACTCGTGAGAGATCACCAGCGACTCTCTTCTTTTTTACTGGCGTCTTTATGTCTCTGAAGACTATTTTGTGTCTTCCTTCCCTTCTTTATGTCATTTTATTTATCCTCATGCAGGGTGACCATCGGAATTACGCATTGTTTAACACTGGATATTATATACCACATAGAGAAGCAAGAAAAAAAAATGTCTAACCACATTTTTTCACTCTTGAGACACAACAGTTCAAAGTCAAGGTTGCATATAATTAACATCACGCAATTGTAATGTACCCAAGGGTCAAATCCCTTAGATCATAACTTGTATGATTTACCTCATTGTACAGAAAAGCACAATGGCAGTTAATTTTATTTGATAACAGATAAATATCTAGAGAATTTTAATAAGATTAAAAATATATGTGTAAAAGAGAATAGACGTCCTTGAGCATTAATTACCTTTCCACAGTGTGAAAATGAGACATCAAAGTTCAAATCTAAAGTAAAAGTTCCCCTAGTCATGGCTTAAGAGACCAGAGATAGCAAGGGACTTTTATTCTTCACATTGTGGGAAACGTCACGACCGGAAACTTTGGAAGCAGCCTAGCGTGGATCAGTCTTCCTTATTACAAGTCGACTGATTCTCATTATTCCGTCTATCCGGCTCGACCAGTGTGCACAAACCACTTGCAGCTGATCTACATTCACGAATTATTAATTCGATGCATGATTTAAAATTCACCAAACCAGGAATGCTTGTATGCTACATCATCATGCATATGAATGTTGATGCTAAAGTGTTACCGATCAGGTCTAGATGTTGAGCGTTATGCAGGTGGTATGAGGAGAATTCTTTACTGACACAGTTCCTATTTAATCAACTCCCAGCTGATTTTAATTGAAAGGAAGAAAATAACAGGGCTTTCTTGGGAATTTCATTGAAGCTAAATGGGAGTATCATATTGAGAAGACTGTAGGTGAGAATGTACTTATGGAAATTTGATGAAGAATAGGCACATTGTGTTTTTAATATCCTTGACTAATTCTCACTATTACAATGTTTGATGATGATGATGATGATGATGATATTGGTTAATTGAAAGGATGGTGTTAAGTAGGCGGTTATTATATAAAGCACATATATCTCTTGCTAAATTTGTCCTTCCAAGAAGCCGCCAATGTATTTACCATACAGGAAAAATTTTAACACGTCGCCAACTTTTTTCTTTTTATCTTATTAAATTCTTTATGAAAACGTGTTTAATAACGGGCGGTATTCAACGGTTCTTCGAAGAGACTCTTCTTGCTTCCTTCGAAGAAAACTATTATATTAATCAAGAGTTGCCAACACGACATGTTGATCCCTTGAGAGACGATGAAAAAATTATAGGTAACACTGTCTAAATAAAATAATTGCTTGATGACTTCATAGTTTATTTTAATTATTTGTATATAAGATAATGAGAAAAAAAAGTTTTATAATTTTAGCAGAGTTCTTTATAATGAAATGAAATGGATTCTATTCATTGAGTTGAGTTCTATCATTGTAGAAAAAATAATGGATGATTTTAATAAAAATAAAACGAGTTTTAGGAGATTGAGAAATAATAAGTATAGGGGATATAATAGAAGGATTAAAAAGATAAAAGAAATGTAGAGAGAACTTTGAAGAGATCTTCTAAGTTTCATGGCTATCCTTGAATCCAACTCGTTTACTACTGTCCAGAGCATCAAGTCAGGGGAAAGGGCATTTCATTCATCAGTCTATTCTACGCAACGTTAGTCACGGACTCTGCTGGAGGTTTTGCGGTGATTAGTCTCGCAGAATCCCCGCGTAGCTCGGAAGAAAGAACCCGTTACTATTTTGCATCCTGATGAACGATATTTTCAAAAGAAACTGTTTTTTACTCTACTAACTGCCTGAATAGAGCTCTTTTCCATATGTTAACCTGCTGTTGCATCTTTAATGATTTTATCATTTTTATCACAGGATCTTTCATATTTCACATTCAAGGACGACGTCTGGAAAAATAGCTAGTGATGCTTCAGAGAGTTGGGTAAAAATCATTTGTAATAAATCCCCATGGTGTACTGAAGAGTTACCACTGGTTATGTGCTCATGAAAGTCTGCGTTATGGAGAACTACCAAATTGATTGCGAAGGTACTTCGAGTGGTCAAGGATACGTCGTATCTTCAACAGTCTCGAAAGAGTGTTTTATACTCCTCTGTTTGACATATTAACATACGCTGAGAAGTTCGAATGAGAAGAGTCGATATTACTCTTTGTTTCAGAAACTCTTGTGCAGAGTGTATGTAAATACTTTTCACCATCAACACTCTGTAGCCTTGAAAGGTACCAATGTGTTTGCTTCTGACCAATTTCACTTCAAAAAATTTCTTTAGCTCATAATAATTTTTTTTTTGATGAAGTTATCGCGTTGGTTTTTTCATTGTCTTCTGTAGGATATATTTCAAGCGTTAATATCCAAGTTGATAATAAATATTTTTGTTATTTACTTATATAAGACAACCTGTGTTATTATTAAGCAAGATTAACTGAGTTAAAAGAGCTCAAGAGTGATAAAAAATATTTATTAATAGAAAAGTAAATTAAGAGCCTTTAAATTGTTGCTATCAATACTAATTTAAAATAGTTTCAGGAAAAGCTCATGCTTCAGTTGATCGATTTATTTATTTTCTTTTTGCATTTTATCTGTTATAATAATGGAAATTGCTCACTAATAAAGTAATGTGCTACTTTATTTTATCAAGACATTTATTACACATGACAGGGACAAGTTTTGTTATATAAATTGATTGGAAATTAAAATAGTCCTGTTCAGTCAGGTGATCAGTGGAGTTCATTGTCGTGAAAAGTTGTTGTTGAAGAAAAAATTAGAAATGTAGAGTTGTCAATACTCTCTTTACAACTTGTAAGTTTATAAACATTCCAGATTTTTATTTGATTCTTCTAAAAGTTCAAAAAAAAAAAATTGTTTAAGAAAATCCTTCATTAAAAAATCAAGATAATATGCAAATATAAAATAAAATATCAAAAGCTTTAAATCAGCAAGTTCCTTTGACAGGCGAATAGCTCAGAAAAACATGAAATTTTTATTCAAATAATTAACAAAGGTTGTAGATCCAAAGTTCGATTACCCAGTCTTGCACCTTCTGTTAACTTGACAACAAAAGATTTATGAAAAAGGCTGTCATTATCCTTGCTGAGTATCATTTTTTCATAACTCCAAGTTCCCAACTGTAGACAATAGTGAAACCAAAATTAATTATC